CAGTGCTACAAATCGCATTTTAACATCGCGGCAATTAACTTCTGCATTGAGTTGAAAAAAATGATCATCAATAATCAGAAAATTTCGTCAGTACGACACAGCATTGTGATTGGCTAATGAAAGACGTGACCTGTTAGGTCAAAGAACTTTGTTTCAGGTCAAATCGTGATGGCAAAGAACACCATGACGAAAGTTGTTTGGTATCGAGACTTTGCGTGCGATCGAAAACATACCAAAAAGAAGATAATGACAATTAAAAGATCTTGCTTTCGACTGTTTCCCCGCAGACCCTAAGATGGCGTTGACGGAAGTCCTTCACAGTTTTATGGTTTCTCATATTAAAATCATCACAACTCTGCAGATAATCATCCTTTTTTATTTTATTAATCAAATTTATAATCAATATACATAACTTAAGAAATACAAATTAGGCTCTATTTAGTTCCCCTTTATGAAAATGTCCACACAAAAAAAAATATTGTGACAAACGGTAACTTTACTGTTAAGTATTACAGTAATTTTTGTTTACAATAGTGGTTTCTAGTCTATGGATTACAGTTAATTAGTTTGTTTAAGTGGCCATACTCTGTACATTAAGTAAGGAAATTATTCAAAAATACTGAAGACAAGGTTTTAAATTTGTGAAATATTCCCGGCCTGTACGAGCGATACACTTTAGCGTCAGATGATTAACACCAGAACAGACCCCATTTATGACGGTACAATCTTTTGATCTCTCGCGTTCGATAATCAAGTCTGTGACTGTAAGCTACCAGAGTATCCTGTGGTTAGAGCACCACCAGTGGCAGTAATCTATTATTAGTGCGGTTCGTGTATGGCGAGAGTCTCGTGTTTTGCGAGAACCGCCATTTTTACTTTACTTGTTGTGCACTGAATTCTACATCAAAAAGGTCTCATGCCACTAATTAACCAATGGCTGCTCGTAGCCCGCAATTTAAATGCCTAGCAAGAACCAATGAAATTTTTTAAATATTATTTTTCTCAGGTGCTCCCTGTTTGAGGGCGTAATCACCTGGGTCAGAGGTGAGACCAACATGTGGTCTTTTGTTTACTACTTAGCGGCTGTGTGCCTGTGGGTTAATTCTGTGTGTTAATGGATGTTCTAATCTTGGTGTTTTTCCAGTGATTTCTCTTGGTGCAATCCAAATACAGTAGGTGTGTCTTGTTTACCTGAGATT